AAGGCGACATTAAAAAGTACCTAAAGATGTTGGACACAAACCCACTACCAGTACAGTATGCTCCTTGCTTAGTGACCCATTCGCTTACCAACCTAATCTTAGGAACAAAACTAGGTCTTTTAGTGAGGAATGCCTGTAGTATTATTTTCTTTCCACTGGTGCCTCAGCTTAATAAGCACCTTTTACCCTTCATCTGTTTTATAGTTCATTTTATCTTTCACAGAACCATCTTCTGGTATGTCCAGTCCTACACCTTTGCCTAGACTTTTTGTTACTCTCATTTTTTTTTTATGCTTTCTTTTACTTTCCTTCTTTTATATACACTCCCAAATTCCTTCACTTACCTTTGCAGCTTGTCTTCAGAATTCCCCAGAAACTGACATCAGTGATAACTCCCACTTTGTATCAGATCCAACATCCTACAATCCCACATCCCTTCTCTACATACTAGCATTCACTTCTTTTGCAACTCCATCAGTAAATATCTTAAACAATCATAATGACAGCACACATTACTGTTTAACTCTTTCACTGTCAGTTCCGTAATATTTCAGCTTGTAGGCCAGTGTTGGTCCTGTAATAGTACGCCAAAATTCTAACGGCTTCCAATCTTGCGGGAGAAAGCTGGTAGGCCTACATACGAGAGAATAGGTCTGAGTGGTCCATGTGTGCAGTTAAAAAAAAATCCTGCAGCACGCATTGCATAATGAGAAAAAAAACTCCGACCGTGTTTTTAGTTTAAAACAGAAAATTTGCAGTGTATTTTTGTATGGTACGTATTTATGGTTGTATTCTCATTTTATTGGTCTCATTTGATAGAATGGAAGATATATTACAGAACTAGAGATGATTTTGAATGATTTATGGACTAAAAGTACCTAATTGAGTGAAAATTAGCAGAAATATTCAATTTTTGCCGATGTTCAAGAGTAAACAAATCACATCATGTGTCCAATACACGTCAACTGATGTAATATGCTTTCACAAATGCACTGATATTATTTATAACATTTTTACATAATGCAGTAGTCTGCATGACAGTAAATCTATTTTTTTGTGTGAATATGCATGACAGTAAATCTATTTTTTTGTGTGAATAAAAATTCAAAATGGAATTCAAGTGTAATATAAGAGGGGCCTGGAGACGTGGCTAATGAACAGAGAAAATGTTATTTTAGTGCTAGGAATGTTTGCATTGTTAATTCTGGACCTTATTTTGAAATTGGCCTTCCTTGAACTGTGTATGAAATTGGCAAAATTACCAATTTCTGATCACTTTATTGGATAGTTGAAAATCAGTAAATGGGCAGTTTCTTGTACTCAATCAATAGAACAAAAGGAGTTCTAGTAACATAGCTATGAGTTTGGTTGATTGGAACAATCGACCAAATTGCCGATGCGTAAATATCGCTGAGACCACTAATTTCTTGAGAGTGTAATTCCGTAATTTCCCATTAATCTTCATACTTTTGGTGTCATTACCATTGGGAAAAGATTATCATTTCATAAGAATTTTTTTTTTATAAATTCTTCAATCTGAGAGCAAGTTTGTGAGCAGGGCATCTCGACAGTGGAAGGGTTAAACTTTTTCACTGGGTATTAGTCCTCCTGCCCTCCCTCCACTGTAACAGTTCAGAGGAGAAACAATGATTTAAACCTAATGTCTGGGAGTACTAGTTGAGCATAACAGCCATTGTATCACAGAGGGTTAAGGTTTCTCATGGGGAGAGTTGTAATGACTACTAGTTGTAACCCAGTCATGATTTTTTATCAAGATGCTCTGACTTGATCCAGCTGATTGAGTCAGTTAGTGGATGCCACCAACCTCTTTCCCTCCTGTCCCTAGTAATTGATTTTGGGAAATGTTATACCCTCTGTGGTGCAGTGACTAAGGCACTGGACTGGCAAACCCAGATAATGTGTTTGAATCCCAGTCACTCCATTGAATGAGAGGGAAATCTTCATATGACTTTTCAGTCTGTCCTGGTTTACTGGTATCACCAGGTAACAACTTGATGGTGATTCATGACACACTGTAACATCTAAATATTTATCACCAATTTGTGTTTTGAATTTTCCAGCCATGGTATTGTGACTTTATCGCACTGAAGTACCTGCATAACCAGGGGCTTTCTATGTGTATGATTAAATTTCAGTCAGTTTTGTATATCTTCTTTTTTCAACAGACCAGCCAAATCCCACTAAGGAAGGGTGACCTAAAAACAAAAAAAGTTTTTCTTTTTGAAATTTGGTAATTTATACAGGAGAAGGGGTAATAGCCCCTTGCTCCCAGCATTTTAGTCGCCTCTTATAACACATATGGCTTACGGTCACAAAGTGACCCCAAAAAAGAAAGAAACACTTTCACCCTCATTCAACACTTTCACCATCATTCAAACATAATCACTATCTTTGCAGAGGTGCCCAGATATGACAGTTTAGCCAATATCCAACCCCCCTCCTTTAACCCCTTAACTGTCCAAATATAGATTTACGCTTTCAATGCCAGCGCTCTGAATATTTTCCAAAAAAAAAAAACATTAAATTAAAGAGGGCAATTTTCTGTGTGTAATAAGACCAAAAACAAATTTTAGGGTCAGTACTTACCAAGGTATATGGCCGCAAAGTTGGTGCTGGATGCTCACCTGATGGCAACATGGAGTCCTGCCGCTTTCAGAAGTGTTGCTGATATACCTTTTTTTTTTTTTTTTTTTTTTAATTTATATAATTTTTATGTTCTGATAATTACAATTTGTAGTAGTTCTTGTGATTTCATAGCCAGTCTTTGTTATGGCACTAATATTAGTTATTGAAATAGTAATCAATTACAGTGGTACCTCATGATACGAATTTAATTTGTTCCAGAAGGCTGTTTCAAGTGCTTATACCAAACGAATTTGTTCCCATGAGGTATAATGTAAACTAGATTAATCAGTTTCAGACCCCCCAAAAATACACTTACAAGAGCACTTACATAAATTCACTTATGTAATTGTTCGAGTTTTGAGCTGTTTGTATCCCGAGGTACCACTGTAGTCACACACTGACAGGTGAACATTTTCATCTGCCTTGGTCACATACTATTGTCTAGAAATATATACATAGTATTTATAGATCCTAGCAATGTTTTACACACACTGGAGTATATATGAAAGTCCTTGAAACATGGTGTAAGACTAGTGTCACTCCACTGCTGACAGCGCAGCAGTGGAGTGATATTTGATGATCGTGCACTGCCTTGGCTTTATTTGTTTTCACTGTTACACACAAACATGTTTGTGAGTCTGTCTGTCTGTCTGTCTAGCTCTGTCTGTCTCTGCTTATCTGTCTTCCTGTCTCTCTGTCAATTTCTCTCTCTTTCTGTCTCAGAGAAAGAGAGACAAGTTCTATTGATTGAGTACAAGAAACCGCCCATTTACCGATTTAAACTGCCCAATAAAGTGGTCAGAAATTGGCAATTTGGCCAATTTCATGCAAATTAAAAAAGATGCCAATTTCAAAATAGGGTCCAGAATAAACAGTGCAGACATTCCTGGCAGTAAAATAACATTTTCTCTGTTCATTAGTAACGTCTCCAGGCCCCGCTTATAGTATTACTCTTGTTTTCTATTTTGAATTTTTATTCACACAAAAAATAGAAGCTTTACTGTTATGCAGACTACTGCATTATTGTAATAGTTATATAAATAATGTCAACCCATTCATGACTGCGTATTAGACTGGCCAGTTGGACATGTATTGGACGGTGACATCATTTGTTTACTCTTGAACATCGGCAAAAATCGCACATTTTCGCTAGTGTGAGCTCAATTTCAAGGTCCTTTTCAATGTGAAACCAATCAGAATCATTTCCATTTCTGTAATATATCTTCCATTCTATCAAATGAGACCAAGAAAATGAGAATACAACCTTAAATACTGTACGAAAATACACCTCATAGTTGGCATTTTAATCCAAAAACCTTGTCGGAGTTTTTTTTTTCTCATGCACTGAATGCCGCGGGATTTTTTTTATTCTGCACACACTGACCACACAGACTCATTCTCTCACATGTGGGCCTATACCAGCTTTCTCCCGCTTGATTTGAAGCTGCTAGAATTTTGGAGTATTTATAAGTCAAAAACACTGGCTTGTAAGACGTATATATATATGACAAAAACAGTCAAAGGGTTAATGTGTAACTGTGAGACAGAGATTGAGACAGAGATAGAGACAGAGATTGAGACAGATATAGACAGAGATAGATACAGACAGAGAGATGGAGATAGAGACAGACCACCCACCCAGCTGCTGGCCAGATAGCCGGCCTGCCAGCCGGCCTGCCAGCCGGCCTGCCGAACATGTATTACACGTTCTAGAATTGTTTCTCTTTACTTAGGACATAGGTTATAGGACATTCTGGCAGGATGACACTACCAGTGGTATCAAAATTGAAAAGATGTTGCACATGGGTTATTATCGAGATTTTTTATATTTCTTCGACCACTTGTGGCCACATCCATCTCAAAGCCACGAAACTCAGGGTTAGCATCACTTTCCTCTTAAAAGGGGAGTGTTAATACGACATGACATCAATAAATCCCTGATGTTTGCCACGTTCTTTGCTCTAGCAGGCACTCATTTGAACTGGTGCTCCCACAAGGTACTAAGTGGGCCCATATTTTTTTAATACTGCACACACCGAGTGTTAAGACCCATTTTATACTGACCAGGCATCTCAGGCCAATTGTGCCAAATTTGGAGGCAGGAAAAATAAAACGTTGATCTACGTTTGGAGCGCTAGTGGTAAGAACGTAGATCTACGTTTGGACAGTTAAGAGGTTAAAGTGCAGGCATTGTACTTCCCACCTCCAGGACTCAAATCCAGCTAACCGATTTCTCTGGATCTCTTCACAAAATATTACCCTGCTCACACTCCACGGAGAATTATTATTATTAAATGCTTTCTTTTTTTTCTGTTTTGGACTTCTGTACTTTACCTTGATGCCCTGCAATCAAGTGTCCCAAACCAGTTATTGCAGCAGTACACAGTGCATGTATTGGAGCAGGAGTAGATCTCATCTGCTCCGCTGATATCCGCTATTCCTCCAGTGATGCTTGGTTCCAAGTCAAGGAAGTTGATGTGGGTAAGTCACCTCACAGCAGATATTTTATTATATGAAAGCATTCACTACATGCCAGGTGGTATTTTATATTACTATAAATTATTTATCAACAATGAAGAGTTTTTTTTTTTCAGTATCTGCCAGCATCAGAGTATTAAATCTTATACAGTGGAACCTCAAATATAGAACTTTCTTCGGTCCAGAAGGCTGTTCAAGTGTCGCTACCAAATGAATTTATTCCCATCAGGAATAATGTAAATTAGATTAGTCCATTTCAGACCCTCAAAAATACACTTATAAAAGCACTTACAAAAATACACTTACATAATTGGTTGAGTTGGGAGCAGTTTGATTTTTGAGGTTCCACTGTACAGTGGACCCTCAACCAGCGATATTAATCCGTTCCTGAGAGCTCATCGTTAATCGAAATAATCGTTAGTCAAGTTAATTTTCCCCATAAGAAATAATGGAAATCAAATTAATCTGTGCAAGACACCCCAAAGTATTGAAAAAAAAATTTTTTACCACATGAAATATTAATTTTAATGCACACAAACTGAAGAAGACATGCACAGTTACATGACACTTACCTTTATTGAAGATCTGGTGATGATTGATGGGATGGGAGGAGGGGAGACCGTTGATCTTGTTAGTGTTTAGAAGGGGAATCCCCTTCCGTTAGCACTTGAGGTAGCAAGTCTTTTTCTGGGGTTACTTCCCTTGTTCTTTTAATGCCACTAGGACCAACTTCAGAGTCACTGGACTTCTGTCGCACAACATAGCTGTCCATAGAGGCCTGTACCTCTCGTTCCTTTATCCTAAAGTGTTTCACAACATTGTCAGTGTAATAGTCACCAGCATGGCTTGCAATAGCTGTGTGAGGGTGATTTTCATCAAAAAAGGTTTGCACTTTTAGCCATATTGCACACATTTTCTTAATCTTTGAAGTAGGCAACTTCTTCAATTTCTCTCTCCCCTCCTCCAAAGCAGTTTCCTCAGGTGTGGCCTCTTACTGTTGAAGATGCTCTAGCAGCTCATCAGTGGTTGGTTCGTCATTGTCCTCCTCCACCAACTCTTCCACATCCTCCCCACTAATCTCACCAATATGAGCACTAGTTCCAGGCATTTTTTCCTGTTCACCTGGGTGTTAGTCAACTGTTGTGGGTCGCATCCTGGGGGACAAGATTAAGGACCCCCAATGGAAATAAGTTAGACAGTCCTCGATGATGCACTGACTTTCTTGGGTTATCCTGGGTGGCTAACCCTCCGGGGTTAATCGTTTCTCAGTAATTGTTTCACGTTAAGTCACACCAACAACACTCTCTCCACATCGTCGAGTAATACAGCTGATGGTGGTGCAGCAACAACAACAGCTGACTGTGGTGCAGCAGCAGCTGCACCTTTGGCAAGAACAGCTTCCTTGATTGCTGTTTTCTTACCCACAATAGTAGCGATGGTTGATTGGGGTTTATTATACAACCTGACCCTCCGGGGTTAATCGTTTCTCGGTAATTGTTTCACGTTAAGCCACACCAACAGCACTCTCTCCACATCTTCGAGTAATACAGCTGATGGTGGTGCAGCAACAACAAAACTGACTGTGGTGCAGCAGCAGCTGCACCTTTGGCAAGAACAGCTTCCTTGAATGCCGTTTTCTTACCCACAATAGTAGCGATGGTTGATTGGGGTTTATTATACAACCTGACCAGCTCAGAGACACGCACTCCACTTTCATACTTAGCAATGATCTCTTTCTTCATCTCCATAGTAATTCTCACCCTTTTTGCTGTAGGGTTGGCATTAGAAGCTTTCTTGGGGCCCATGGTGATTTATTTTGCAGGTGCAATCACTACAAAGGCTGTGATAATATGAAATGTTCCAGTTGTTGTATGTTTGGAAGTGACTGCGGTGGCTGGCTGGCTTGTAAACACTGGCACCAAGGGACAAGTGAGGCGCGCTCAGGCCAAAGTGGACGCTTATGGTACGGAACGAATAGCGCTGGTCGGGTTTTTAAGCACTAGTTGAGGCAAAATTTTTGCGTTAAAATGTATCGCTAGTCAGATTTGTTAATCGATGCCATCGCTGGTTGAGGGTCCACTGTTTTTCAATATTTACCAGCTGAAAGGGACCCTAGCAGGAAGGTTAAAATTTATAGACCAATTAATCTTCTGAGTTTCTATCTCCATGTGGGTTATTACTGAGCATTTACCAGCAACATAACCATAAGAGAATGTCAATTTTGATTTTCCCCACCAGGTTTAGCAGCAGATGTTGGTACACTGCAGCGCCTTCCCAAGATCATAGGAAATCAGAGTCTTGTTCGTGAGCTCTCCTTCTCCGGCAGGAAGATGCTTGCTTCTGAGGCATTAGAATGTGGCTTTGTCTCAAAAATTTTTGAAGATAATGAAAGGTAAAGACTTTCTTTTTATGTTCAATTAACTGTCCTATGAAGGTCCTTTGTATAGTGCAGTTTTGTAAATGCAGTTGAAAAAGTGCATTGAAAATTAAATACAGGAGGACCCCGCTTATACAGCGAGTTAGGTTCCAGGCTTACGCAGCAAAGTGAATCGCCCTTTTTTTTTCATTTTTAAATGCTTATAAATGCCTAATAACATGTTTACACTATCTCATATTAACCCTTTCAGGGTTTCGGCCATACTAGTATGGCTTACGCACCAGGGTCCATGACGTACTAATACTCATAAATTCTAGCGCCTTCAAATCTAGTGAGAGAAAGCGCGTAGGCCTACATATGAAAGAATGGGTCTATGTGGTCAGTGTGCGCAGTATAAAAAAAATCCTGCAGCACACAGTGCGTAATGAGAAAAAAAACTTTGACCGTGTTTTTGAATTAAAACAGCGACTTTGCACTGTATTTTCATATGGTATTTATTGTTGTATTCTAGTTTTCCTGGTCTCATTTTATAGAATGGAAGACATATTACAGAAATTGAGATGATTTTGACTGGTTTTACAATGAAAAGTACCTTGAAATTGAGCTCAAAGTAGCAGAAATGTTCGATTTTTACCAAAGTTCAAAAGTAAACAAATCATGCTAAGCATCCAATACACGTCAATTGGTGAGTCTAATATTCTTTCACAAGTGCGCTGATATTATTTATACCATTTCTACACTAATGCAGTAGTCTGCATAACAGTAAATCTTCTATTTTTTGTGAAAATAAAAATTCAAAATGGAAAGCAAAAGAATGTAAGAGGGGCGTGGGAACGTGATTAATGAACAGAGGAAATGTTATTTTAGTGCCAGGAATGTCTTTCTTGTTTATTCTGGACCCTATTTGGAAATTGGCATCTTTTGAAATTTGTGTGAAATTGGCAAAATTGCTAAATTCTGACCACTGAAATTGGATATTGAAATCGGTAAATTGGTGTTTCTTGTACTCATTCGATAGAAAAAAATGGAGTTCTAGCGAAATAGTTATGATTTTTGTCGACTAGTACAATGGAATTGGCCGAAAATAGGGCTCAAAGTGGGCAAAATAGCCGATGTGTAAACATCGTCGAGACCGCTAACTTCGCGAGAGCATAATTCTGTAAGTTTTCCATCAAATTTCATACTTTTGGTGTCATTATGATCAGGAAAAGATTCTCTATCTTTTCATAAGAAAAAATAATTTTTTTTTTGAAATTTGGGCGACCCTGAGAACAAGTCTCTGAGACGGCCTGTGGACCCTGAGAGGGTTAAGTTAACAATAGAACTAGGCATAAAAAAAGTAAAATGCACATACAGTGGTACCTAGACTTACTAGTTTAATTTGTTCCGTGACCGAGCTTGTAACTCAATTTGCTCGTATATCAAATAAATTTTCCTCATTGAAATTAATTAAAATGCCATTAATCCATTCCACCCCTCAAAAAACCACCCCATTTTTTTTGTTACCGGTTTATAAATAAGAAAAACGTATTTATAAATAAGAAATATTGTATACTCCACCCACCATCTTCACTACCCCACCCACCACCATCTCTACTACACCCACCACCATCTCTACTACACCCAAACCCACCCTCACTATTCCCCCCTCACAAACTCCCCCACCACTATCTCTACTCCCCCACCACCTTCACTACTCACCCACCACCATACAAACTGCACCCACCATTATCACTACATCCACCACCATCACTACTCCACCCACCACCATCACACTCCACCCACCACCATCACTACTCCACCCACCACCATCACTACTCCACCCACCCCCAAATCACTACTCCACCCACCACCATCAATACTCCACCCACCACCATCACTACTCCACCCACCACCATCACACTCTACTGACCAACATGACTATTTCCACCCACCCCTTCACTACTCCACCCACCACCATATCTACTGCACCCACCATTATCACTACATCCACCACCATCACTACTCCACCCACCCCACACTACTCCACCCACCACCATCACTACTCCACCCACCACCATCACTACTCCACCCACCCCCAAATCACTACTCCACCCACCACCATCACTATTTACTGACCAACATGACTACTCCACCCACCACTTTCACTACTCCACCCACCACCATATCTACTGCACACCCACCATTATCACTAAAATCCACCACCATCACACTCCCCCCAAACCACCATCACTACTCCACCACCACCATATCTACTGCACCCACCATTATCACACATCCACCACCATCACTACTCTACCCACCACCATCACTACTCCAACCACCATGAACTACTCCACCCACGATCATCACTACCCCACCCACCACCATCAGTACTCCACCCACCATCATCACTACCCCCCACCCACCACTATCATATTCTTCCCACCATCATCACTACCCACCCACCAACCATCACTACTCCACTGACCAACACGACTAATCCCCCCCACCACTATCAGTAAAACCCACCACCACTCACTACTCTACTGACCAACATGATTTACTCCACCCACCACTATCAGTACTCCACCCACCACCATCCACTACCACCCACCACCATCACTACCCCCACTGACCAACATACTACTCCACCCACCACCATCACTAAAACCACCCACCACCATCACTACTCCACCCACCACCATCACTACTCCACCCAACCACCATCACTACTCCACCCACCACCATCACTACTCTACTGACCAACATGACTACTCACCCACCACCATCACTACTCTACTGACCAACATGATACTCCCCCCCACCACCTTCATTTACTCCACCCACCACCATATCTACTGCACCCACCATTATCACTAAATCCACCACCATCACTACTACAACCCACCACCATCACTTACTCCACCCACCACCTTCATTGCTCTACCCACCACCATCGCTACTCCAACCACCATGACTACTCCACTCACCACTATCACTACTCCCCCCACCATCATCACTACTCCACTCACCACTATCAGTACTCCACCCACCACCATCACTACTCCACCCACCACTATCAGTATTCTTCCCACCACCGTCACTACTCCACCCATCACCATCACTCAGGGCCGGATTAAGAAGTCTCTGGGCCCTAGGCTATTCAGATTGGCGGGGCCCCTTTGAGTTACGGGTAAGCGAAGCGACCCCTTCCAGCTTGGGGGTGGGGGGGGGTTGGTGTGAGCCTGTTTAAGGTCTAATTAAATACATTCTGGCTATTTAGATTAAATTTAATAGGGAAAGTACATCAAGACAACCAAAACCATTTACCAACAGCCATTATAACTATCTTGTTAAATCATGCATTTTAAAGATAATACACTCAAGACAGCATAATATTACTAGATTAGGCTATTAAAGTAGTGACATCATGTACCTATTATATTCAGCATAACCACTACAGCACTATTATTCCCTTTATAAATCAATGACCATTATTGTTATCATTGCATCATGCATAAGACTATCAAATCATATAAACTCAAGAAAGTAAAGAATTGTTTATATTCACAGGCACTTCTTAAATAAACTTTTTTCTGGATTCTATTGGCAAAAATCATCAATTATATTGAAAAAACAATATTTTTTGTTAGATCAACTCAGTGGGGCAACAAGGCTAGGTTAACACAATTTGTCTTGGCTCATTGTTGAACGGAGCTGGTTTTTCACTCTTTTTCAAAACGAAAATGAATGTTTTTCCTTCACAGTTATAGCTGGAAGTGTTAGGGAAAGGCAATTCACTATGTCAACATTAGGGAAGGTTTCTGAGATACCTGCATTTCTTAAATGTTTCAAAGCAAGCTGAGGGTGCACATTTTCAGGTGGAGCTTTTAAACTGATTCATATACCCAGAAAAATGAACTATTTCTTCAACAAATGTGTCCTGAACATCGCTAAAGGTGTTGTTGCAACTTCAATGCGCTTCTCTCAATTCTGCTCTGGCATAGTAGTAATTTTGAACAGAAATCCAAACTTTTCATTTAGATTCTGGTAGATTTCTTTTCTTTTCACCAATTCTGTAATCAGTGAATCCAGAATGATGAAGTATGGTAGCTGTCTTACATTTCTGCCTTGTAGCAACACAATTTCATTGTCTGGCTCTTCAAAATTGCGTTTCCTCTTCCTTGACCGCTGATGATCAGCCCGGTAACTGTATCTTTCCACCACAGTTAGCTTTCTCTCAAACATTTCAAAAGCTTCATCATTGCGAAGTGAGCTTACAAATTCCCACTAAGCCTGCATAGAGGTTAGCAGAAGTAGCCATTTCAATTTCAATTTTCTGAAGTGTCCTTTTTCGGCATTTAACCGTTCCAGTAAAACAGTCCCAAAGCACACAGAGTAAGGCCAATTCAAAATCTTCCAATTTTGATGCAAGCTGGCTGCTTCGCTTCTTGTTAGTTTTCTGTCCCGGTCTTCAATCCTCTGCTATTTGGATCAAAGCAGAACGTATTTCAGCAAAGCTGTCTTTCAAAAACATGTGTTTTCATCATGCTGCGCTGACCACCTTGTTGTTGATAATGATTTGATGACATCTCCATGAATGTTGACTTGAGTATAAATCCACCGATGCGTTGAATCAAGAAAAAATTAAAGAGTGCTTGTAAAAGTCCAAAAAATAACTGCAGCGACAAAACACTCCGCAGCACATGACCCAACAAGATTAAGAGAATGTGCTGAGCAGGGCACATATTCAGCAAGTGGGTTGATTTGCTTTATAAAGGGCTTGCAATCCATTATATTTACCCGACATGTTACTTGCATTGTCTAGCTCTGGCCACGGCAAACCATAATAGAGAGATCATGTTCAAGCAGAGTATCCAGTACTACATTCATCATTATTTCTCCATCATGGGGCCCGAAAGAGGAAAGAATTTTATAAAGCGCTCTACAGGCTTACCACTGGAGTCGACAACGCGAACAATGAATGTCAGTTGATCTGTATGTGAAATATCTGGTGTTGAATCTACACTTAT